AAATAATACATAAACTCATTGATATTATCTCTTTTTTTAAATAACAGAAATCTATCATGATGACTCTTTCACTTATATTAAGTTGAATTTTAAAGACAAGACTTGTAAATAATGAGACTAGAAATATACAGATGCAATGTTTCTTAAGGGTGTTTATCTTCTGGGAAATGTTAAAAAGATCACAATCTAAAATGGCTTTTAGCTCTGCTGTCTAAAGTAAAATAAATGTTATAGGAAACTTCCAAAGATAATAAGTTATGAAACTTGGGCCATTATCATTTATTCCTGTATTTATACTTCAGTCGTACTGATTTTTGATTAAGTTCAGCTGCCTAACATCAACTTCAGTGCTATCTTATTTAGGCTTATTGTTTTACATATTGTAAATTTTTATTCTTTTGAGAATACATAATAAGTTTTTACTGTCAGCTCTTGAAGGAAGTCATTGGTAGAGCTACAAAGGTATAAGTATTCCTCAGAATTCTTCCCTCATATATGTAGTCCTAACACAGGAAATCTACAGCTCTTAACCTCCCATTTTCTACCCTTCAACAACAGTGAGCCCAGAAGCTACATTAGAAGTGTTTTCAGTGGAAGTTATATGGCAGAAGATCAAAGCTGGCATTAGAAATGAAAATCAGAGATTAAAACTGCAATGCCATGTTGTCATCCTGGTGTAGAGGTTAGATAGACAAGTGCTGCTGAGAACAACTGTTCATATGCCCATGTGTAAAAACCATCTGAATACTGATTCTTTAAATAAAGATCACCAAACCCAACATCATCTCCTGATGGCAAAGAGGAGGATACTCAGTCTTCTTTTAGATGAAGCATTTAGGAAGGATGAATTATTCTTTTACTTTCTCTCCTCAGGATAGGACAACTGAGAAGATCCAATGGTTTGCTGCTGCCTCTGTAAGCCAATTCCATTCGGTGCACCTGAAGAAGCCTGCTCCTTTTAGGTAGGTAGTTTTTTTTGGTTGTTTTTGGGTTTTTTTGGTTTTTTGGGTTTTTGTTTTTTTTTTTTTGGTCAATCTAGCAAACTGAATTGGCTCAGTCAGATAAGCCCCTCGGTTAAGAGAAAGGAAATGGAAGGAGCTTGCAGTCCAGTCTGGGGACTGGGGAGGGGTGATGGAGCTGGCTGTTAGACACCCAGACATGCATCTTCAACATCAGACTACAGCCAGTGGGGGGATACAGGTCATTCCTGAGGCTTACACTTTTTTTGCACAGTAATTTGAAGACAAACAACCCAAACAGACTTCTAAATGCTACAGAGAATAAAACCCCACCTAAACAAACCAACAAGGGGTCAGAAGGCAGAGAGAAGGGGAGGGACAGAGGAAAAAAACAAGAGGTTTGTTCAGGTGATAAAAGGAAAGTTGCTGACACTCTAATGTGGGTAACACAATAGCACTAAATAAAAGTATGTAAACAGAAAGTCTGTCATTGTTCTTTTTAATTTGTTAGCTTGGAGCTAAAACCACTAAAAACCACTGCAATATTGCCCTCTCTCCCACAAAACTACTGCGAAACAGAATTATCATCTGTATTACAGTGAACCATTGAAAAAGCAAAGATTGAAAAAAGTGAATATACAGGTAACAATTTTGCTGAAAAGAATTTCAATTTAAGTACTAGCATTGGCCCAAATTTTTTATTGTCTCAAACAAAGCAAGCATAAAACACTATCAGTCTGCCAATGCGACATTTCAAATTCAATCAAGAAAACCACCTGAGCTAACTTAGATCAATGTCCACTTTGCTGAATTTTTTGAATAAAATCCAGTCTGCTTTGATCTCAGTAAAACCAATAACCAGCTCAAATCCACATTCATGCCAGTGACTACTGATCTCATATTTCAGGTCTTTCTTCCAGTGTTATAATTCAAAAGAAGATGAAAGTGTGCACATGACTGCCTGCTTAAACTGACTTGGCTTCTCCTGCTAGAGGTGGCAAAGAGGCAGATTTGGTACTGTTCAAGCTGCTACAGAACATTTTTGCTTCCAGCCCATGCACTTTAAAAGGTAATGGGAAGAATTAATTTCCTTCTCATGTCTCTCTCTTATTAACAGTTATCCAGCATGTTGCTTGGCCCGAGCAAAAGATTTTTTAGCATAAAAATGAATTTATTGTTTTGCATTCTGAAACAGAATTTTTGGATGGAGGGACTTCCATAAACAGAATAAATGTGTCCTGTGGCTCAGGCAGAGGCCATACCTAAATACCTGCAATTGCCTAAAGGCACTATCTTTATTCTTCTGCCACAATTTGTTTCTGGGGTTTTGTTTAGTGTATTTTGTACTTTGGGTTTTTTGTTTCTTTTTTTGTATTTTCATGGTGATGTACTTTGTATATTTGCTTTGAAAGGTAATCATAATCTATGTAGTTTAACAAGGTTGCCCTGGTAAAAAAAATCACTTTAATTTCTTTTATAATCAGTATTCATTTTTTTTTTTACTAGATTATACTGCTTTTTAATATTAGATATTATAATCTGGCAAAAATTAAATGAAACTCCAGTGTGTTCATTACTTAAAACCTATTAACATTTAGGATGGAACATAAATATTCACAGGAGTCCTTTCTAAAAAATTATTTCCAATGATTGGAAGGAAGAAGTAATGATTACTGTTACCTATATTTTCTTTTTCTGAATTGTACAATAATGGATATAGCCTTCACCTTTCTATACTTAAAAAAAATCTCATATATATATATATATATAAATGTATGTATGAGATAATTTTTTAAAGCATATCTGTGTATATACATGTATATATATGTATATATATATGTGTATATATATATCTAAGATTTAATTCAACACTGTTAAACTTGAGCTGCTCATTACAGAAAGGGTCAGGAAAGAGCAAAATCCAAGTACAGAACTACAGATAAAAAGATCAAATGTCAAGCTTTGGGAAGACCCACTAAATCCCTGATTTAAAATATTCTTTTGCTTGTATTTCAATTTCAGATCTTATGTTCAAAATACACATAGTTGTTTGGTGAAGTTGTTGGAATGAGATACAATAGCACTTGATAAATGGAATACAACATGTACTTAGTCTATTTGATATTTTAAATTTTGTTTCTAATATGAATAAAACTCAAATGTCCTAAAATGTCCAGGACTGTACCAATCAGAAGCAGCACAGTTTCCTATCCAAACTAACATTAGTTTATATCAGCTGAAGCACAAAATCAACAGGTTTTTCAGCCTCTTTTGCACAGCCCACAGCAGCCTATGTGAGCCTCTCCTGCTCTCCCTGTGCAGATCCCAGTGCAGACTCGTCCAGGAGACAAGTACATCACACACAGCGTGGCTGATGAGTCATTTCTGTTTCTCAGCCTGCTCTCACTCAGAGTTTGATATTACGTACCATATGGCCACAGCCTTCATAAATATGGTTTCAATGAAGTCATCTGATGGCAGAATGGAAATGGCTTTGTAAAGCAGCAAAGCTGCTAATTGATGAGTGGAAGAGATGAAAGTGATGGTTCTGTAAAAGGAAAATCTTGTATGATCCTGGTCTAGGCATTTATTACAGCAGCATGAAAATGTTCTTATTTCTGTTACTGTGTAGACAGTTTAAAAGCAAACATATTATAAAATAATGATGAGTTTTTCCATTTTTCCCCTGGTTCAATCATTTTCTGCCCAGCAGAATTCAGTGATTTTTTGCCAGCAGATCTAGTTCTTCACATAGCCTTCCATTTATTCTACCTTGTGTTGGACTTTCCAGCAATTGCTCCTTATTAATCTTAATTGTAAACTCTCCTCTTCCTGCATTTCCTGTCCAAAGTTTATGCACCTCACCTATTATGCACAGGCTCCTATTTTGTCTAATTTCATGGAAAAATCCATCTTCTTTTTTCATAAAGCACCAAAACCAGGCCTTTTTTATGGCTTCCCAATTCAGGTTCTCATGACAGACATGCAAAGTCTGAGAGGAACATTCAACACAGCAGACTTTTGACATGGAAATCTTTTTCTAGTTTATTTTTCAGTGAATAAGGAAAATTGTGTCTCTGCCCACAGTGGGTGAAGTTGGGACCTAGATGATTTTTAAGATCTACTTCCATCCCTTAACATTCTCTGATTGGTTCTCTGACTTCTCTGAGGAGTAATTAAGGGAAGTTGAACACTGGGGGTCTTAGGTTGGTCCTTGCAAAAGTCTTTGCCTCAGCAGAGTGAGAAAAGTATTTTGACATTGGTGGAATGTGGGGGATTAATCCATATAAGTCATGTTTGCCTGACTAGAGGCACATACAGTGTGGATGCGGAAAAGAAGGAAATGCCACAGTTATCCTGAAATTTTGTCTACAGAAGAAGATATGCAATCATGGTCATCTCAGAAGAAAAGCATGCAGACTAGGTTCTCTGGCCCGAAAGTCAGCTTTCCAGAACGACCATTAAAGACCATCTCTACTTCTAAGCATAAAGGGAAAGCTTTTTTCTTGCTGTCTTAAAAGAACTCCAGATATTTCCACAGTAGTCACTTAAACACCACTTGTGCAAACTGGAAATTCTGAACACAAAATAATAAAATCGCCCTATTGAACTCAATTGCATTGCTAGCTATAATGTAGGGGAAGTAATTTCTTTCAAGGGTTAAGAAAAACATGTATGCTGTCACCTAGAAGTGTTTATACTAGTTTTTTTTTCCACCTGTGAGGCCATGAGGAGCAATTAAAACTCATTCATCAGTAGTCAACACAACAGCTAAAGGTTTAATCTTTGAGTAACACAGCCACAATTTCAGAGAAGGTGAACATGGATCTCTTATCTAATGGTATCCTCTATTCCAAAAAATCACCTACAAAAGATCATTGTACAGAACACACCAAGGATTCCTGACCATGAAAGTACATACATCTGAAACTCTGTTTTGTCTTAGCCACACAGATGAGACTATTCTTACAGTTGAATCCACCGACTTTGATTTATTACCGATTTTTATATGTTTAAAGACTTTTGGTAAAAGGACCTTACCCTTGCCTTCTGCTCCATTTCCATCATTAATCTTTCATGCTGCTCAGCTATTGCCAGTGTTGCAGAATGGACCTTCTGATATATCATTTCTCCTTCGCGTGTTTGAAATGTGAACAGCCCTTCTCCTGTGTCACACATCCTGCAGGAAAAAAAAAAAAAAAAAGAGTTTAGTGTAATTTTTATTTAGCTATTATAAAAAATGCATACCTTACAGTAGCAAATGTCAACTTTAGAGATGTAAGTAAACTCAGAAATTCCAAACAACAAACATCTGCAGTTATTTTTACCATTGGAGAGAGACATATTCCAAGAGATGGACAGAACTTCATTAACATACTTTTAAAATTCAGTTTTAATCATCATCTGGATGGTGAAAAAGAAGCTTTAGCATGGAATAAAAATTTGAGGTAATAGAGTCAGTTATTTCTGTAATTTTTTCCAAATGTCTGCACCAGTATGTGGGAGCTAAATTTAATTATTTTAACTAATTGATGCCAGAAATATGTAGTACATTGTGACTTTGAAAAGATGACATTTTAAGAGAACACTGACCAACTAAAAATGCCATTATGGTTAATCACTACAAAGATGATGTATTGAAAGACAGCATTAAAAGTGTTAAATTATTACTACCTCTGTCAGTATATTTACGTGAGACAGCATCCAAATCTATCCTGCCAATCACAAAAGCCATTCAGTTCATTTGAGAATAAGAACAGTTCTAAAAGAAGATTAAATAATAATAATAAAAAAAAAAAACCTCCAGAAATAAAATTTGCTTTCTTCTTTTGAGAGTTATCTCAAAACTGCTGTTACTGTTTTCTGTGATATCAGTGTGGCACTATTCGGAGAGAGCAGACTGGTACATAGTAAATACAATGTCCAAAAGGTCTGGGAAATACAGGAAATAATGTTAGATTGCTGTGTGACCATTACTTGGAGAATATACATATTGTTGACCAGTGGTGCAATTCTATGTAATTATATTAGTAGTTCCGATATATTATCAGTATCTGATTTACATATTTTTATAGACTACTTGCAGCTTCAGAAATGGAATTTTAAAAATAATTTTTATTTGGTCTGATACCTCCTATAAAGCTTTTCAGTTATCTATGACAGAAAAATGTTGACTTGAGTCACTGATGCACAACATGCATCATCAATAGAGAGATTTTGATTTGCCTTAAAACATCAGATTCCTTTATTGTTTTGGATGTTTACATTATTTTTAAGGAAACCAAATTTTGTTAATATCCCAGCACCTTCAGCATGGTCCTACAAAGCACAAAACTTACAGAATTAAAAAAAAAAAAAAAAGCAAAATGTGTCCCAAGTAGTTCAACATTCAAATGGATTTTTAAATATTATCTTCAGAATTTGCATCCATATTCTGTATGATTATTCATGCATTAAATTTTACCAAAAAAATTCCCATCAAATGAGCATACAGATCTACATTATTTTAATTAAATAATAATTTAAATATATGTCCTACTCTATTACATGCAGACACACAATTATACTGCAGTTTTTTGAAAAGACAATACTTTTTTTCATGAGACTTATCTTTTTGTCAAATTAGGATATGGCTTCCTAAGCAATTACATTTAAAAAGTTATCTGAATAGGGCTGTTGTTCAGTTGCTTCTGATTTCAATGTTGACCAATGAAAATAAAACCTTATTAACACTTACAAAATCTTTTCCTGGTCACTGGAGGAGACATGCTATTGTGAGCCTTGCAGAAAGAACTTATGCACGTCTGTGTTTGAGAAAAACAGAAAGTATCGGAGGCAGAAACAGTAAACAGAGGTGCTTCTGGAAAATTCCTGGTGAAAATATTTTGTAATGTATAACTCAGCTGAGGTATTGAAATAAAATTCATAGTCTTAAGAATACATGATTAATAATATTATCCATAATTCTGGAATAATACCAGTTTTTTAATTGAAAAATATAAATAAAATAAAATCCATTTCATGGATAGGTATTATTTAATCAGTGTAAATGTGATTTGCTAACTAAGAGATTTTAAAAATAGCTTTTTGTATTAAATTCCGATGGAGATCAAGATCCCCGCTGTAAACATTTAAGATATATTATATCCTTAGACAGAGTCCTCCAAAGAGCTTCTGGTGGAAATAAAATGTCCCCAGAGTTTTGTGACATTATGGCAACAGCCTTTCAGATCCCTCAGGGCATCATATAGCCAGTACTCTGCTTTTGTGTAAAGAGATCTTAATAAAATTCAAACAGCGTGAAATGGAAAGTCTGGAAAAAAGGATGGGCTTTCAGAGACTGAAGGAAAATATGATCTTTTTGTTGGTTTCAGAGGATGAAAAATCCTACAGAGATAAAAACAAGGAAGTGGGGAAAAAAAACAGGCAACATTGATGGACTTAGCTGCCTGTTTTCACCAGGCAAACCCCAGCCACCCGCAGTGCTGACCAGAGCAGGGTCTGTCCCTGGCTGAGGCAGCGGTGCAGGCTGTGGCACTGCCCTGGCCCCTCACCCACTGCAGGACGCTGCACTGCCTCCCAGCCTCAGCTGTGGTGGATGTATCGCGCCAGGATTAGAAAGCCATTGCCACCATCCTGCCCGTGAGGGCTTTCCTGGCTGATGATGGATGGTATGTGCACAGCTCCTCAGAATTGGAGGTGAAGGAGAATTGTGGGCATCATTTTTTTAAAGTGTTGAATTCCCCTAGCTCGACTTGAAGTTTAATAGGACTTAATGCCCCAAAGAATTAAGTAGTTGTTACTTGGCACATGTGAACCAAGTGAAAGCAGCAAAAATTGTTAGCATAAAACTTTATTTCTTCCATTTAAACTTATGAATAATCTGTCTCCCAAGGATATGAATGCCTTTGCCATAGTAAGATTTTTCATGTTCATCTCCTCAGAGCATTATTCCTTTTCTCTGAAGTAAAGTGAAAATCTGAGTTTAGACCTTCTAGTCTAGTCTAGTCTAGTCCCATCTATTTTTCTGTTCTATTCTATTCTAGTTATAAACCAAGATGAGTAGCCTCATTAGGGTTAGGTTCAGTCTTTCTAGAACAAGGAAACATAGACTAAAATAGAAGTGCTCCTAAGAATGATGACGATAGGGACAAGGAAAGGGTGGTCTCTGAAGCTTAAGGGTTTTGCCATAAAAGCAAAACCTTTACATATCTGGCCAACAGGAACAGACATGTTTCCATGAGCTGAAACAAGACTTGTCTTGTTCTATTTATAGTCCAAACAAAGTCAGTCGGACAAAAAGCTATTATCTCTATGGCCCTTCTGGATGTCAGATAACTGTCCCTATAAAGCTCCAATTTAGGAGGCTTAGTCTTGCTAATGTCTTGTTAATTTATCTATGTTCAAAGCATACATGGTAGATCAGTTGCCAATTTAATAACATTTTCATTCCTAACTTTTACATGCTTTAAAATCACTTTCGAGAAAAGGCGGGACAAAGGTCTGGGCCTCTTTTTTCCTGGTACTGTTGCAGTTAAGCAATGCAGTCCTACCAACTCAGCATGACCTTCATTGTCAGAAAAATGTCACTGATTTTGTATACTTCAATTTTTTAATGAGATACTTGCAGTCTCTGTGAGTACTTGAAAAATGCCGATCTATTTCTGTGTTTTTCAGCTTTGAAACAGAGATGTCATTAACCTATGCTTTAAGATATTTAAGGATTCAATGCATTAAAATGTATGAAGTGCTTTTACTGAAATAGGAAAGTGCCTTTTTTTTTTTTTTTTCCATACATTATTACAGAATAATATAACTGGACAGACAGTGACACCACTAGATAAACAGTTCTGCAAATAGTTGCAATTAAAAAAATTCTTTAAATACTACAACAGCTTATCACAACTATCACCATTAGCAGATCTGGCTCAAGAACCAGGAGAAAGAACAGAGAGGAATGTGGGAGCTCTGCTTTTGGCCCAGGACAAACTGGATTCAGAGATCAACAGTGAAAGTTCTTGCTTTCATTGAAGGTAGAATTTCTGTTTAAGTCATAGAGATTTTCCTACCACTATTGCCAGACATTTTTCAACATTTCCCAAATTCATACCATGGTTTCCCACTGCCTTTGCTCACTATGCAATTTCTGCCTTTTAGATAAGAATCAAAACTGTAGATTAACCATGTAGAATTCCCTTCAAAAAGGAAACTGTGTTGACTTGATCACCATTTACAAAAGGTACTTTTTCCCAGAGAGAAGTTCATGCTGTCATGTCATGGGTGAAATATTTTAGAAGTTTAACAGTGCAATATTCAGAAACTGCATAAGAAGACAAGAATTTGACATATCAGCTTCACTATTTCCATTAGGGGTAAAATGTATTTTCATGAAAATGAAGGTTGAATGAAAACTGAAATGCCCAGAAAAATTATAATTTCGTGTTTTAAAATAAAAGATAACTTACAATTGTAAGTAGAAAAAACTTTAGCTCTTCAAATATCAAGATTTAATTTTAAATGAATTTGAATGAATTTGAAGGAATTTTTAATGTATTTCTTTTTATCAACAAATAATTTAGGTTTAAAGAAATAATGGCTGATTTATATACTCAAAAGTATATCAAATTACATACAAATAACTAAAAAGAGGTAATCATCCTCAAATAGAAACTGAAAAGAATCATAAAAATGTTTACTATTAATAACTAATTACTACTAATAAATAGAAATATTAATAACTAACAGAAATAAATTACTATCTTACTTTAACATTTCTAGTTCTTGAAATGAATAGACTTTAAATTCTTAAATGAGAACAGATCATGAGTATTTAATGTCTAGTAACCAGCACCAAACTGGATGTAATTGTAGTTGCATACCCCACAGCTAGGGTTTGAAAATTGTTTCATTAAAAAACTGGAGCTGTTTACTCAAACACTTCAAGACCCAAAAATCAAGTTCATAAAATTACGGGATTACAGAATTGTTTGAGTTGGAAGGGACATCTGGAAATCGCCTAGACCAATTCACCCTTTCGAGGCAGGATCAGCTAGAACAGGTAACACAGGTGCTTGTCCTGATGAGTTTTAAATGTCTCCAGAGACGGAGACTCCATGACCTCCCTGGGCAGCCTGTTCCAGTTCTCTGCTATCCTCAATCTAAAGAAGTTCTTTTTCATGC